TAAACAAAAGCACTCGCTGTACCACAAGTCAGGTCAATCCCGGTTGACTACTGCCATGTCACCGTTTTTTGGGCTAAAACGCAACCGGGGTTCAATTTGAACTGGGATTAGAGAGTTGAGTGTGTTGATTCCTGGGATTTGGAGTTCGGGGTTTGATTTAGCTAACGCCCACGAGTTCAAGGTTTATTTTGGACTTTTTTCATGAAATTCAGTAGAACCAGTGAAATCTAAGAAAGGTGTTTGGTTCACGGAAGGTAATTAAAAGCAATGTGGGAAAGCCAGAGCTTGTTTGCTTTCAAACGTCAACATATAGCGCAAATAATTCTTATGTCTGGTTTCAACTAACGGGGAAGAAACTCACCAAATTGACAATCTAAACACAAAGAGTAATGTTTCAGAAATAAAACCTAGATTCTTATTCGGTGTATGGATCGAACCCTAACCTTGAAATCCGTGAAACTGCGAGCATGTTCTACGCAATCCCGCTTTATCCACGTTGATGTATGCTAAAGAGAGAAGTGCATATTACACCCCTCAACTCTAGCCCTAGTCTAATACACACACCCCAACTTCAATACCGTCTAGTTTACACCCCCCCCAACTCACAAAACCAGGCGGAATTCAACCTTCCCCTCCCCGTTGACCGGTTTTGACCTGTTGACTAGGTGAACAGTAAATTCAAAAGAAATACAAATTAAAAAAATAATAATTTCATTTTTTCACCGGGTGAACAATAAATTCAAAAAAGTTCAAAATAAAAATAAAAATTCAAAAAAAATGGTTTTTAATTTTTTTGATATATTGTTAGGTGAGCAGTAAATTCAAAAAAATAAAAAATATTTTGAATTATTTTTGCATGGACGATGTTTGATTGCGTGATGTTCGTTCCAATTTTCAGCTTGTTCGGACATCTGAGTAGCTCTCAGCAAAAAAGACAAATATGACGTCTATGAAATAGTTAACAGTTTGGGATTTTTTTTTGTTGAGAGACCACTGAAATGTCCAGACAAGCTGAAATTGGCACGGACATCGTGCGCTGAAAAATCGTCCATGCAAAAGTAATTATTTTTTTGGAAAAATTAGTATTTTTTCTAATTACTATTCACCCAGTAAAAATTCGAAACTGCTTCTTGAATTTTATTTCCAACTTCTTTTTTGAATTTACTGTTCATGTGTTGAAGAAACAGAAGAATTTTTTGATTTTTTTAGTTACTATTCACCCAGTCAACTGGGACAAAAACGGTCAACAGGGAGGAGAGGGTTGAATTCCGCCTAGTTTTGAGAGTTGGGGGGTGTAAACTAGACGGTATTGGAGTTAGGGTGTATATTAGACTAGGGCTAGAGTTGAGGAGTGTAATATGCACTTCTCTCTATGCTAAATGCTTGTTGCTCATATGCCACAAATTATGGAGAAATCAGACGCCACGATAGACTGATAGCGGGCCCCACTCGCTATTCAATCAAGTTGCGGCGGCGGGGTTGAAATTAGGGTGGGAATAAAACGAGGCTTCGTCGGTGGCTACAATTAGGCTAGTCATAGTGGGGAGTAATGTTACTACTATAGTGAGTAGCAATATATACGTGGTGTCATGCAACACCTTACTTATTAGATTGTAAACTCATTTTGTCTCGGTATATGTGATGTTAGGGTAACATATTATGTTACCATAAACTTCTCTTTTCTTATTAATTATTCGCCACATTATTTTTTTTGTTTTTTTTTGCCTAGATATGTGTAATGTTACTATCTATATTATTCCCACTATGGTAGCCTTAGAGCATCTCTAGCAGCCGCACTATCCCGCCGTCGACCCATATATTTGCGGGCGGTTTATTTCTGGACCAAACAGAAGACGCAAATTTGCACTGCCCCACCCCCTCCAGCCGTTATATGTATGGGAGGGGGCGTTGTAGGGTTGCCATCTCGGAGAGAACCACCCCCCCCCCCCTTCGCCACAATCCTCTTCCCCTGCGCCACCGTATGTTCGTAGCTCCGGCGAGCGCATCCGGCCGAATCAAGCACAGCTCATGTCGGGAGAAGGTCGCGGATGGTGTGGGGGGTCGCCGTCGTGCAAGCGTTGCCGGCACGACGTGGAGGCCAGCAGCTCCGGTCGGCCCGCCGTCGAGCCATGGCGCTCGGCGCAACCGCGGCTCTCTCTCCCGCAACGGTGGGAACCGCACGTGGCAACACTTCAACAAGCTCCACAACGCGCTTTGGCCGACGATGAAGAAGCTTCGCGAGGCAGAGATCGCTCGCTTCACAACGAAGGAGGCGCTAGAGGCCAACGAATAGGGTGACGGGGAAAACTGCCTGCAAAATCGATGCAGGGCGAGCCGTAAATCAATTTTGCAGGGTGGCAGTTTACCACATTTGCTAGAGATGCTACTATTGGGCATGCAGAGTTAGCGGCAACTACTGCAGGAGAGGCAGTTTTTTTTTTGAGGGACTCAAGGAGAGGGGTGGTGGGAGTAATCGATGAAAAAGCCCCGTAGTAAACATTAAGGAGAGGGCTGGCTGTTTCTTTTTTCCCAAAGACTCAATCATGCAGCTGCGCTCAATGGACGTCGCGAGCGCACACTCATGGACCGAATGATGCAATAAACTGCTTTCAGATTTGGTAAACTGTCCATCCACTTATTTTATATATGGAAAGATTCTTCAATTACAGTGCGTTGATTTTTCTTCACCTCATCCGACCAATCGTGTCAACTCAGTGATGACGTAACGTGCACTAATTTTGGTACAAGAAAATTCAAAAAACTATAACTTTCACACCGTGTGTCCAAATGATGATCCGTTTTCACCGTTGAATTCCTTGTGACGAGCTCTTCAAAAGTAGATCCCATGTGAATATGTTTTAATGTTTTTTGTAAAAAGCAACTTTAATGCTAGATGAGGCAAGTTTAGTGCTAAAGATGAGCAACTTCGATGCTAGAAGAATTGCACCATGTGTATAAGTAAATTCGCGTAGTAGCCTCCTACTTAGTTGTGTGCAATAGGTAATAAGTGGTTACATAGTTCGTTGCCTACCATATTGTGAAAGTTGTTCACCGTAAAGTGGGAAGTTATCTAACATGGTTTCCTAGTTGTCTGCCTCAGAAACCAAGTTGCCTACATCGCTATGAAGCTTCCCGCAGGTGATCCGTAACTGCCTAAAATTATGAAAGTTCTCGGACCTAAGTTGCCAACACTACTGAGCGCATGGTTGTTGGCTAGTCAGGTCGCGGTGTTAGATGAGAAGTTGCATAGGGGGTTATCAAAAATTTCATAGCGGGACGGATCAGACAATTGCCTACAAACCTATGCAAATCCTTATTTTTTGGTCGAGTTGCCTACAAAATTATTAAAATCTTCATATATAATGATGGAAAACACACATGGGTTGGCTAATTAGGTCGCGGCGAGCTTTTCAAAATTAAACTCCACATGAATATGTTTCTTTAATATTTTTAAAAGCAACTTTGATGCTAGATGAGGCAACTTTAATGCTAAATAGAAGCAACTTCACTCCATTAAAAATAACTAATTAGCAACAATAAGCATCTAACTAATGATACAGAACAACTTCGAAACAAAGGTATATAACATCACAATTTTCCTTTTACCAGAGGCAACTTTAGTGCTAAAAGCAGACAACTTCACTACATTCTATGTCCTAATTATTTTTTTCTAATTTTCTCCTAACTTCCTCGCCAGTACCTCTAATTTGCCTATTGTTCACGCTAGTATGTCGTTGTTTCTAAATTGCCTATAATACTATGAAGTCATCTATTGGTGATGCTTTTGTGTCTACTATTGCTAGTTATGGTAGGCAACATGATGATGAATCTTAGCCACTTCAGAGTGTTTGTAGGCAACTTAGAAAACAATGATAAATAACTTCATAGTATTGTAGGCAACTATTTGGAAAAGTTAGGCAATTGTGCAACAATTGTAGGCAACTAATTAACAATAGCAGGCAACTATACATCAATGGTAGGTAATGTATAGCATGTATAGGCAATTGAACATCAAATGTAGGAACTGACCATCAACAATGGGCAATTGAGCAGTCATGATACGCAAGTTGGAATAATGTTAGCAAAATTCACAAATACACACGGTACAATGAATTTGCTTTGTATGTAGCACTAAAGTTGCCTTATGTTCTGTGTGATTTTTCTCATTTTTTTGCGCAAACCAATCTAATAGTCAGTTCTACTAGGCCAAAAAGAAAAATTGCTTCCCTATAGCACTATAGTTGCCTCCATTGCACCCAAAGTTGCCCTTGAAAAAAGTTTGACAAAATCTACTCATATAGGATCTAGTTTTGAAGAACTCGTTGTGAGAAACCTGACCATGAAAACAGAATTGAATTTCAATGCTTGAATGAAAAGTTATGGCTTTTACAACTTTTTAAACCACAAAATAAATGCACGTGGGACAAGATTTAGGCTGATTCCATCGATAGCCATGTGCGTACAAGGTGTGGCCAAACAATTTCCTCTTTTAGTATAGACAGTTGGACACAAGGACATATAATTACTATATATGGCTGTGCGCTCCAGGCAACAAACAAGCGCCGCGGCGCTCTCTAGCCACATCCTTCTTTCTTTCTTTCTTTCTTTTTTGAGGGATTTAGGAGCGCAAGCCAACAAGACATTCCGTTGTAAACATACGAGACATAACAGTTGGCTAAATATCTCAAAACATAATACTCCGTACCTATTATGTGGAAAGTACGAAAGCAGCATCTCAACGCACAAAAGAAAACCTGTACAGAGAGACTAAAACATAGGCCCAACGTGGCATTTAGGGCCGTGGCTTTCGGAGCCCCGGCCGACCCTTTATTTCGCCAGCCAGCCCCCATTTCTTTGGATCAGCAGGCTTCCTCACCGCTTCAGCACGTAGCTTGTGGATCACATGGTAAGAGAATAGCTCAGAAAGCACGGCCTCGCTCCCCAATTTAACTTCAGCAGATCACATACTATACACGCTTTGTAGGATCCAGAAGAAGATACTAGTAGTGGATCCTATCATTGCCATCGAAATTTAGGCCTCGGATGCCCCTTATAGTGGACTCGTAGTTGTTGCTGTTAGACTTGTGCCTGGGATCAGAGTAGTCAGGCGTCTGTGAGGTCCTCCGTGGAGCTGAGTTTCTCTGGGACGTCCCTGGACTCGCATCTGGTGCACGACTACGTGATGGTTCAGCTCCACTGCTTGGCAAATCTCGGCTACTAGAAACAGCAGGTCGCCTTGAGGACACGCCTGACCGACCCAAAAAAGTCGAACTGGACAACTACAGGTCATTCGAGGTTGAGAAATTACATTGCAGAAGGATAAATAGGATCCTTCAGGCATCCAAAGAACACCATGGTAGCAATGCTAAACAAATGAAATAGGACAAACTCACCACAGCTTCCTTCGGTGCGGACACATCTGGTCTAACTGGTGACTTCTGTTTCGATAAGCTGCCTGCATTTATTCCTGTAGGTGGAACCTGACGTCGTGTAGGATCATCTGACCATCCACTTCTTCTTCCCTCTTCGGTGGCTAAATCAGTTCAGGAGACAGTTAGCCAACCTAACAGAACCTACTCGGCCCATGGATTAGCTGAAGAAATAGCAATACAACACAAGAGTAGTTCTGAACATGCACCTGAAACAGGATGTGTGCTACTCCTAAGCAAGATAACGGGAAACAGTTTACGACCCTGCTCCACTTACATATATTATATTATTTATATTATTATGTGCACTCGTTCATTGGTGTTGCATATAATTTTGCACGAAGCATCCAACCATTATACTATTTCCTCAAATCTAATTATAAAATGTGATAATGTTACTTGTAGGGAAAAAACAGCTACTATAACAAGAATACCTGACAGTCTATTATTACATGCAATTGGAGCCATCCCCGAGCTTTGTCCTGCAGCAGCGGCCTAAAACAACAGAGCATGAACATTTATCAGATATTTATCTCCACGGACAAGTGCAGAAGGCTAGCACTTTGAGCTGTACTGACAATAGCACGTGGTGGAACACTGGTCATTTGTGACTGCTGGTATTTAAGAATGGTCCAGTCAAAAACATAATCAAACTGGAATCCTACACAGAAAAATATCCAATGAGAAGTGTCCGAAAAGTAGCTTTTTTTTTAAATGTTGCAATGCAAAACTTTATCTAGTAACATATAAATAGAAAACCAACCCTCTCGAATAAAAAGATCTCTGAACAATCTCTTCAGGTATTGATAGTCTGGACTGTCTTCAAAACGCAGTGAGCGGCAGTAATGGAAGAATGACTGAAATTCAGAAGGGTATCCACGACACAAAGCCTGAAATCGAACAAACAATTAATACACAAACTAGTTAAGTCATGATTGAATTTAAAGTGCATGAGAATCACCTCAATTGAAGTGGCAATCTTCCGTTCGCTGATTTTCTCATACTTCTGTTTCTTCGTACCGGCTTTTAAACCCTGCCATGGGAGACTGGTAACAGGGGGGCTGTTAGAACACACCAGATGACATAAAAATAGAACAAACTGAAGCTGCATAACCAACCTTCCTCTCAAGAAGTACATGAGTACATATCCAAGAGACTCCATGTCATCCCTTCTGCTTTGTTCTATTTAAAAAGCAACAGCCTTTATTCTTTAAACAAGATGGTGCATTTAAGGGCAAGAGAGATTTAATGAAGAAATAGTAACATGGTGCACTTAAAGATATGCATAGCAGATAAATGATCTAATATTCAACTTGTGAAGTGGACTAACCAATTCCAAGATGGGTGCTTACACTCGCATATCGAGCTGTCCCAGTCAAATTTTTGTTCTCCCTGTATTTCAATACACATTTGTCATACAGGCTATAGGTAGACAAGTACAAAGTCTCGTTAAGAAAAGGATGGTTGGTAATACATTTATATATTATGTCATCAATATCATTTGATATAGAAACACAGTACTGTTATGGTTCCCAGTAAAGTAACATCAGCCATTATACTATTACTGCAGAAGTGCAAATGACAATTGACTCAAGCATCAGCCTAGATATACCGGTATGGAATGTGCTGGTGTGTTGACGTGTCCCTGTATTTCTTTGCCAGTCCAAAGTCAATCATATATACCTAAAACAACATTAAGGACAAGATGTAAGCGCATATACATAATGTTCTAAATAATTTCTAGAACTGTAGGCAGGTGAACAGCACAAAAAATGACTTACCTGATTTGCTCTCTTTCCAAGGCCCATGAGAAAATTGTCTGGCTTTATATCTCGATGCAAGAAGGACTTTGAATGTATAAATTCAACTCGGTTGATCTAATAAAAATGGAAGTTAAATAGATTTAACCAGATAAAATCATCAAATAACAACAACAAAATGACAAAGACTAGCTGATCTCTGTTGTTGAGTGTACCATTTGATCAGCAAGCATCAGAACAGTTTTGAGCGACAGTTTTCTGTTGCAAAAGCTGAAAAGATCTTCAAGGCTTGGCCCCAACACATCCATAACAAGAACATTGTAGTCACCCTCAACACCAAACCACTTGACATTTGAAATCCCAGCTGCACAACCAAAAAAAAAAGTATGTCCGAATCACAACGGCAAAAAATATCTTATATTTATGGTTCAGGGAAAGAAAATGAACGGGTATTACTTCCGCCCTGCAGTACCCTGTACAACTTTGACTCATACAGCAACTGAGGATGCTTTGTCTTCACATTTTCCTGCACAGAGCAAAAGCATAAGGCCTTATCAGTCTGAACAGAACAAAGCCTGCGATAGTTTTGGGGAAATAGACTGAGTGTGACATCATAACAATCATTATTCTGACACCAATAATGCAGCAACATTTTTCCAATGCACGCCACAAATAAGGGGCTAAAATTAGAACTTCAGAATTGAAACAAGTACAATCTTGCTGATGCACTAGAGCATATGGAGATGGTTGGGCTGCATTTACCATCTATCAACTTTTCCTCTCCTATATCTTCTCTACTCTCTCTGACGTTTAATTCTTGGGAACTAAAATGAACTAATGCAAGATTGCAAATGCAGGAGAGCTTACACAGCTCAGTCCATATAATAGCAACCCGTAATCCTTGGCAGGAAATAGTTTTCAATGAATCCTGCTTCTGTATCCATCATTTACCCTTTAAGCGCAGATGGAAGTAATTAGTAAAGAAGTTTGACTGAGAGCTACCAATTCACGAAATATAAGCCTGAAGGAATAGCCAAGGTGCATATACTTTTGTTATTGTACTTTCCACAATAGTGAGATACAGTATAAGATTGCTCCAATATTTGGGCCCATTTTTACAGAAAATCATCAATTATCAAGTTAAATACCAAATAGAAATACTTGCACCTAGTATATCAAAAAAGAAAATACTGGCACTAAAAGCAATACTGCCACTGATTATAAAATCATAAACACAACTATGCTGAAATCCAAGAGAATTGTCGCGTCAACTCACAAGCTTAATCGCGACCTCCTCGTTGGTCTGCACGTTAGTACCTGCACCGGCAACCCCGAGCAAGTGAAAACACACGATTTAATCAGCAATCCAGCAGAAACAGCACAAAGGCGAGAGCTTTTAGCATCAGAACGGTTCGTTCAGGCGGGGGAACAGCGCACGAACCGAGGTAGATCTCCCCGAACGAGCCGCTGCCGAGCTTACGGCCGAGGCGGTACTTGTTACCCACGCGCGGCTCCATCGGCGGCCGCGCACGCACACACGCCACCGAGCCGCCGCCTAGGTTGGGGACATCCAGCTACGGAAGAACCTGGGCCAGGGGAGGAATTGTGGGGATTGGTAGCTAGGGTTTGAGCGGTGTGATCGAAGTGTGGGATTGGGGATATTCTTTTTCTTTGTGGGGTGGTGGTGCTTTGCTTTCGCGAGCATCACCCACCAGCCACCACGCTCCGTTTAAACAGAAATGTTAGAAAGTGGAGGTGCCTGTGTGAGAGATTAACATCGCAATTCGCAACAAAAGTGACGAAAATGCCATTCTAAAATCCGAAAAATAAGAAGAAACAAATTCTGAAGAAAAAAATTGACAACACACATTGCTTTGTTTTCTAACTGTGCGTAAATTTTAGTGATGAAATGACATTTGTGGATGTGTGGAAAAAAAATAAAATGAATGCTCCAAAAGGCATTGGAATTAGTCTTTTAGCATAGATTTATGTTTTGTTATACCACATGAGCCATCACGATTTTTTGAACGCAAATGAAAGACCCTCCAATGTTTATAAAAAAAGTCAGGTTCTTTGAATTTTTTTACTATTTTATTTATTTATAATTCACCCGAGTTCACACCTCGGAGCAAAAACTCCATGCCTCCAAAAGGGAGATTTCATTTTATGTCATACAAAATTAATATTTCCTCCGATCCAAATTAGTTGTCGCTCCAATAAATGTATCTAGCCATCTCAAATAGAAATTAATATGAACATTTTTTCTGGTCCAATGAACGATTTAAATTCTTTTACAGTATCAATGACCGATTTAGGGCCTATTTGGGACTGCTCCGCTTCACAAAAATCGGTTTCGCTTCACTAAATTCACTTTGAAGCAGTTTCATCTATAAGTTGTAGTACTACCAAAGAAAATATTTGGCTGTCATCTAGCTTCAGCTTCAAGAATAAGAAACTTGGTGAAAAGGATCTATTTGATTGGTTGAGGGGAGAAATGAATGGGTATCCACTTACTGGTGGTAGTGATGGGTAATTTTCACCCAACTCCAGTTTCTCAAGTTTTTTGAAGCACCCCCTGAAGAGCTTCATAAAAAACTGGGAGTTGTACCACAAATTTTACTTTTTTTGCGGAGCGGCATATCGTGGAGCCACTAGTACGGTGAGGTGCTATACAAACGGTTTTTTACCCTTTTCCACGATGGCATTTGGAATCGACGCCTAGTGAGTGACGGCGATAGGGGGTCCTTCCCACACGATCCAGAAACCGTCGGGATATTCCCTCCTGGCACACACGCTCGGCAAAATGAGGTCGTTGCGGCCGGTGACAGCTCAAATACGGAAATACATATAATATAGCTAAAAATACAATTATACGGGCGAAATTATTTTCGGTCGCAAGTACATCTCACACAGTCAGTCCCCGCTAAACGTTTCTGTTCGTATGTACATCCCACATAGTCGTTCCAATGAAAATGTTTCCGTTCACAGATACATCACACACAATTTTCCCCGTTAAATCATTTGTGATAACATTGACACTACACATGATATTAACTATTTTATCGTTTACGTTATTGAAAGCATCACACACGGTGCATAGAAGAAACTATGTGGCAAGGTTGTCCATCACACACAGTTTTTATATGGTAAACGTTTGCGCCAGGTGGCCTAGCACAAACAATTTTGCAAGAGAATGTTGTGTGTGATTGTTCATTAATCTAACACGGTTTATTCCTAAAAACTGTGTGCGTTATTGAATGCATCACACACGGTGTTTTCTCAATAACTGTTTGCAATAGAAAACCCTAATTAGTAGGCTAATTATTTGATTATTAATAATCCATTTATTAATTTAATTGACATTTCATATTAAGCATGCAATATATTTTATTTTCATAATTGAAATACATCAGAGTACAACATCATATAGTTTCAGCACTCAGCTACCCCGTTACACAACTATACCAGCACCAAAATTCACATGCAACATCTATAACCTTTCGAAATTAGTATCATAGACGGTACATAGACAGATGTATCTCATCTGGAAAACTGCTGAAGCAAAAGGCGAATATTGAGCCTTCATTGATGTTTAAGGTCTTTATAACTTTGGGACAGTGTCTGTGGATGATTGACTGTCCATCCTTCGTCCTCTTCAAGAACACTTCAATATTGAACCGTGGGTGTTATACGAATACCTTCCTCGCCTCCTGACCATACAAGTGGTTTGAGAGGTAATCATCAGAGAACTGCTTTGGAAAGGCCTGAAAATAAGGATGTGCATAAATATCTTCTCTATATTGGAAATGGGGCAAAGGAATAAAAAAGGCAAGGTATAATAGTTAGTACCATCTTGTAGTGAACTGATGTCTTCATTATGCAGACAAGGATCTTGTTGTTTTTTGTCTCTAATTTCTTTATCCTAAAAATCTTTCTGAGTTTCTTGACTTGACTGATATTCATGGACAACTCATTTCCCCATATGCAAAAATGGTCGAATAGTGGGTCAAAACCTCTGACAACAGGACCTACATATGTAAGTCCAAATTGTTAAAAACCTAAATATTAGAATGGTTCCTGCAATTGCTCAATAATGTGCTATTAGACAACGGACCATGCACGTGCTAACCTCGACTGTAAACCTCGGTGCTTCCCATTGTTTTCCTGCAATGCATATAAGGTAGTTAGTCATCAGGTTAAGTAAGGGTTCGCATGCCATCAGTAAAATATGTTGATGAAAAATAAGCACATTGCAGATTCATCAGATTAATTCAAGCCACATGGAAAACCCATTTATTCAAACCAAGCATGATTAAGAACTAGGAAATGTAGCACTTGTATATGTTTCTCATGTATTAAGTGCAGCCAAATTCAATTTATTCCTCACATGCACAATAATACAAAATTCTACCCACGACAATTGGACATCGCATTGCAGAATTGAACCAAGCAGTTAACTAAACACCACAACAAATGAATCAAACATTAATTGAGCACCACATTGCACAATATAACATACTCCTAATAGAAGATCAGACAGTTAACCAAACCAAGCATGCTTAACAACTTGGAAATATAGCAATTGTATTTGTTTCCATATATTTAGTACAGCTAAATTCAATTTATTCCTCACATGGTATACAATAATAGAATGCACTCACAACAATTGAACATCACAATGCAGAATTGAACCAAACAAAACAGTTAACTAAACACCACAACAAATGAACCAAATGTTAACTGGGCACCACATTGCACAATATAACATACTCCTAATAGAAGATCAGACAGTTAATCAAACCAAGCATGCTTAACAACTTGGAAATATGGCAATTGTATTTATTTCCCATGTATTTAGTACAGTCAAATTCAATTTATTTCTCACATGGTATACAATAACAGAATGCACCCACAATAATTGAACATCGCATTGCAGAATTGAACCAAACAGCCAACCGCATCGCGTCATCGGCGCACGAGGCATCGACGGTGGCCTCGACGGCGAGGTGCTCCTCCAAGATCTGGGGATCGACACGAATAGCAGCCATCGTGACCTCACCCGCGCGTGCGGCCGCGATTTGCTTCTTCGCTGCCAAATACTCATTGAGATCCTGGCTATACTGCGCACCATGGCTTAGGATGGCACTTATTTGGTGGAGGGTCGGTGATTTTGGTGGAAGGTGTCGCGCCGGTGGTCGGGGCATGTGGGATGTGGAAGGAGGAGGATGGCGGTCAGGTGTGGATTACCTGCCTGGATAGGGGGAGGCCGAGCAGCATGAAGGAGGGTCGCCGGTGAGGAGGCGGTGCTGCAAGTAAGGAGTGAAGGTTTCAACTTGGAAAGGAATGCAGAAACAGGAGAAATGTGGCTTTTGGTAAGGGGGGGACTTGGAGGTAGATATTTCCGCGGAAGATGAAAATTTGGAATCGCTTCAGCGAAAAAACTGGCGCCCAAAGTGTCATCAGACATGGTCCCTTATTCATAATTGTGTACGATATGTGAACATCACAAATGATTCAGATAGCTTAACCCGTGTGTGATGAGTTTAAACGTCAAAAATTTTGGTTCGAATTTCCCTGGTTACAGTGGTCATCCACGTCATTGCATAATTTGGGTACACAAAGGATACTACAGCACACCCACACTTCTTAATAGAGCAATTTCAGCAATTAAACAGAGCTAGCTGACCTAAACATTACTCTAACAAAGTAAAGATCGGCGCTCTTAATTAAACAAAACAAAGAGTACTACTATGACTGGTCCTCATCGATCTCTGCCACCGCCTCCATGTCCAGCTCGCACCCGACGGTCTCCTGGGGAAGGGGCTCCATGGCATCAATTGCACCATACTCGGCAAGCTTCTCGCCATCCGCATCCGCCATATATTTGAAATAGGCTGCCATAAGCTGGGCGTGGGCGGCCGCGATCTGGGATTTGGCGGGCTCCATCATGGCAAGGTATCTCGCGCAGGAACGGACGGCTGCTCGAACTCTCTCGGCGATTGCCAACTCTTCGGTTGTGGGTTGTCGACCGTTGTCGGAGAAGCTTCGTTCGATTTGTGTGGTGACAACCACGAGCTGGGCGTGGACGGCCTCGACATGGTCGTGGGAGGCCTCCATCAGGGCTAAGGTTGCCGCTGCGGAAACAGACATCTATTGTGCCGCTCTCGCCAGTTGCTATCCCCAAGGCAGATGCTCCTACCGCCGCCTGAGAAGCAACAGCGGCCGTTTGGGATGCCCTGGCCGCCCGGACATAGATTGCGGTCGCCCTCATGAAGCTTGTTAGCACGTGCCTGGCGGCTGCGGCCGCGCTCTCACCGGAGTGGGCCACCGAAGTTGCCATCACGATGCGGGTCCACGTCCCCATCTTTCACCGATGATGATTGAACAGTGAAATAATATTTGAGGAGCGGGCTAGTGTGCTTGACACTCCGACGGTGCTCCAAGATATTTTGTGCTGCATCTCACACGGTTGGTGATAATTAACTATGTGCGATCCACTTGATTTTTCATCTTGATTTGAATTACGTAATGGGGTCACAACTGCAAAGGATGGTGTTTGAATTGCTAGAACTTTAATTTGCAGTGAACATGCAACTATAGGTGGTCGTCAAAAAAATTGGAATTATTCAGGGTTCGTTTGGACGTTTTTATACATTAACTTGGCTTTGTAGGCATTTCAGGTGCATAATTCAAATTTGAACTACATGCACATGCTCCAGTGCATATAAACGGGTTGAAAAATCAAATATGTGCCCTTGGTTGCATGCTTAGGTCCCATGCAAGAAATGGGAATGAATGTCAAACACACTGTCACCGTCACTCGGCCGCAAATATTGAGATATTTGGTTTTTAAATTCTATTAAATCCAAAACACATCTGAAATTCATGGAGCGGCATCAGCATGTCGTGGTAAAAATTTTGTCCCATTTGGGGCAGGTTGGGGGATAAGCTTCTCCCAAAGCAGAGCTTCTCACAACAAGTGTGATGGTTTCGGTAGGAAATGCGCCACCTTTGGGGACGGAATGATATCTGCTGCCTGATGACCCACAAGTATAGGGGATCTATCGTAGTCCTTTCGATAAGTAAGAGTGTCAAACCCAACGAGGAGCAGAAGAAAATGATAAGCGGGTTTCAGCAAGGTATTCTCTGCAAGCACTGAAATTATAGGTAACGGGTAGTTTTGTGATAAGATAATTTGTAACAAGCAACAAGTAACAAAAATAAATAAAATGCAGCAAGGTGGCCCAATCCTTTTTGTAGCAAAGGACAAGTCTGGATAAATTCTTATATAGAGAAAAGCGCTCCCGAGGACACATGGGAATTATCGTCAAGCTAGGTTTCATCACGATCATATGATTCACGTTCGGTACTTTGATAATCTGATATATGGGTGGACCGGTGCTTGGGTGATGTCCTTACTTGGACAAGCATCCCACTTATGATTAACCTCTATTGCAAGCATCCGCAACTACAACAAAAGTATTAAGGTAAACCTAACCATAGCATGAAACATATGGATCCAAATCAGCCCCTTACGAAGCAACGCATAAACTAGGGTTTAAGCTTCTGTCACTCTAGCAACCCATCATCTACTTATTACTTCCCAATGCCCTCCTCTAGGCCTAAATAATGGTGAAGTGTCATGTAGTCGACGTTCACATAACACCACTAGAGGAGAGACAACATACATCTCATCAAAATATCGAACGAATACCAAATTCACATGACTACTAATAGCAAGACTTCTCCCATGTCCTCAGGAACAAACGTAACTACTCACAAAGCATAATCATGTTCATAATCAGAGGGGTATTAATATGCATATAGGATCTGAACATATGATCTTCCACCAAATAAACCAACTAGCATCAACTACAAGGAGTAATCAACACTACTAGCAACCCAGAGGTACCAATCCCAGACTTAGAGACAAGAATTGGATACAAGAGATGAACTAGGGTTTGAGAGGAGATGGTGTTGGTGAAGATATTGATGGAGATTGACCCCCTCCCGATGAGACGATCATTGGTGATGATGATGGCGATGATTTCCCCCTCCCGGAGGGAAGTGTCCCCGGCAGAACAGCTCCGCCAGAGCCCTAGATTGGTTCCGCCAAGGTTCCACCTCGCGGCGGCGGAGTCTCATCCCGAAAGCTTGCTTATGATTTTTTTCTCATCGAAGGACTCCATATAGCAGAAGATGAGCATCGGAGGGCCACCAGGGGGCCCACGAGGCAGGGGGCGTGCCTAGGGGGTAGGGCGCGCCCCCACCCTCGTGGCCAGGGTGTGGCCTCCCTCTGGAACTTCTTGCGCTCAGTATTTTTTATATATTCTGAAAATGACTTTCGTGAAGTTTCAGGACTTTTGGAGCTGTGTAGAATAGGTCTCTAATATTTGCTCCTTTTCCAGCCCAGAATCTCAGTTGCCGACATTCTCCCTCTTTATGTAAACCTTGTAAAATAAGAGAGAATAGGCATAAGTATTGTGACATAATGTGTAATAACAGCCCATAATGCAATAAATATCGATATAAAAGCATGATGCAAAATGGACGTATCAACTCCCCCAAGCTTAGACCTCGCTTGTCCTCAAGCGAATGCCGAAATGGAAAAATATGTCCACATGTTTAGAGATAGAGGTGTCGATAAAAATAAAATACGGACATGAGGGCATCATGATCATTCTTAGAACAACAATTTATATAATTCTTGTCATATGATCTCTTATGCTAGAGTAACAATTCAATCACAATTTCAAGTATGAATAATAAACTTCATTGAGAACTAACAAACTATAATCTCAGTCATTGGAGCAATTGTAATTTATCATAACATAGGAAATAGTCAATATAAGAGCTTTTCAGCAAGTCCACATACTCAACTATCATATAGTCTTTCACAATTGCTAACACTCACGCAATACTTATGGGTATGGAGTTTTAATCGGACACAAAGAAAGATACGGGCTTATAGTTTTGCCTCCCAATGTTTTACCTCAAGGGTAATGTCAACAATAATAGTTCATGAAAACTCACATCCAATTAGCCATATATACCAGGATCTTTCCAACATGTTGTGCTTGCCAAAAGATAAAATGTAAAAAAGGAAGGGTGAATATCACCATGACTCTTATGCAAGGTAGGAGATAAAAGTAAAAGATAGGCCCTTCGCAGAGGGAAGCAGAGGTTGTCATGCGCTTTTATGGTTGGATGCACAAAATCTTAATGTGAAAGAACGTCACTTTATATTGCCACTTGTGATATGGACCTTTATTATGCAGTCCGTCGCTTTTATTTCTTCCATATCACAAGATCATGTAAAGCTTATTTTCTCCCACACTAATAAGTCATACATATTTAGAGGGTAATTTTTATTGTTTGCACCGATGACAACTTACTTGAGGGATCTTACTCAATCCATAGGTAGGTATGGTGGACTCTCATGGCAAAACTGGTTTAAGGGTGTTTGGAAGCACAAGTAGTATCTCTACTTGGTGCAAAGAATTTGGATAGCATGAGGGGGGAAGGCAAGCTCAATCATGTTGGATGATCCATGACAATATAATTTATCTCAGATGTAAAAAAACATAACCCATTACGTTGTCTTCCTTGTCCAACATCAACTCTTTAGCATGTCATATTTTAATGAGTTCTCACAATCATAAAAGATGTCCAAGATAGTGTATTTATATGTGAAGACCTCTCTTTCTTTATTACTTCCTATTAATTGCAACGATGACCAAAACTATGTTTGCCAACTCTCAACAACTTTTATTCATCATATTCTTTCTATGTGATCTCATTACTCTCCATAAGATCCATAAGATCTCTTTGTTTCTTTTTATTTCTTTCACTTTTCTTTTATTCACTCAAGATCATGGCAAAATAATCAAGCCCTTGACTCAGCACTAATCTTTATTATATATAGCTCACGGACTCGATTACATAGAAGGATCATAAAGCAAAACTAACAACAAGATCATACCAAAACTTTAGGCTACTAGATCAAGATATTACCAAAAGGATCGAACTATGAAAAACGGTAAAGATA